CTAATTGGATCATACTTTTAGATCTAGAAAAATGGTCCTATCTCAGCAGACAATCATAAAACGATTGCAAAACTGTTGAGTTTGCTGAACACAGCCAATGGCTGCGTTCAGCAAAACGGTTGTTTTGCAACTGTTGGAAGTTTCCTTCGCGCTAATTGGATCATACTTTTAGATCTAGAAGAATGGTCCTATCTCAGCAGACAATTATAAAACGGTTGCAAAACTGTTGAGTCTACTGAACGCAGCCTCTTATTACCCTGGATCTACAATAGGGTTTTAAGCCTTAAACCATAAAAAATAGGCGAATCACAGTTGATTATTCCCCTCGGATTCGACTGTAATTGGTCAGTTTCTTACGGTTTAAGTCTTAAAACACCTATTGTAAATCTGAACTTATAGGCTGTCTAGTTTGAGCAGCTCGTGAAAATTTACCTTAAAGCTGCGGTTCACTTGACGCTACAAACGCTTTGAAGCGTTTGAGCGACCAATCAGAACAGAGAATTTTACGAATTGACTAATCAAAGAATGCTTCGAAGCGTTTGTAGCGTTAAGTGAACCGCAGCCTAAAATTTAAGTAACTTATTATGTCTGTCCATAGTGTCCACGATGCTAGAAATCGTGATCTCGGAGTGCAGTCTATTTGGCGCTACAAATGTTGCGAAGCATTTGATTGGCAATTGAAAGAAAGAATTTTATTAATTGACCAATTAAAAAATGCTTCGAAGCATTTGTATCGAGTGAACTTCGCCAAATCGAGTGAACTTCGGATGGAGAAAACAAAATTTACGAATCATATTTGAACAATTCGGCCACTTTGGTGAATTTTATCATTGGTCTACTTTCCACTGGGAAGTTTTATGACTCCTGCACACTGGACGCGAAAACGCTTATTGCGCGACAAAATATGGCTGCGTTTAGCGGACTAAACAGTTAGGCTGCGTTCGGAAACATCATCCGGGTGCCTCCGTGTATCGTTTTATCTTTATTTAACATTGGGTGAATAACAAGGATAAAATGACAGGCGAGGACACTCGGGTGATATTTCCGAACGCAGCCTTAAATGAGCGCTCGCTGCTATTGATGTATTCTTCCAGATTTAAAATGCTGATTGGATGGTCTAAAAGAATACATAATAGGTGCATCCAGAAGCGACGACCGCTCACTGAGCGCTCACTGAGTAAAAAAGGGATTAATCTCTGATTAATGTTTATTTATTATAATTCGTAACGTAGAATAACTTGTCTATTATAGATAATCTTTTATATCATATTTCTTACTTATTTATTACTGTTTTTATTATTTCTCTAATGCTGTATTTGGGCCGTAAGGTTATGTAGCGCTCAGTGAGTAGTGGAGCGTAATTATGGTGCATTCAATACTACAACCATGAAGGAAGATACTAAGGAGACTCCACTCCGTAAAATAAAAGTGGACCGATTTTCGAGTTTAAGTTTAGATTCTCGACACTCGCAGCGCTCGCGAATTTAGTAGTTCTGCGCATAATGAATATGCCGTAGTTAGAAACGGTAGTTAAAAACGATAGGAGGAAAGAAATCGTATTTCGATTTCCGAAAAAATGTGAAAAATCCGAATCTAAATGTTTAAAGACAAATAGGAGAATTGCAATGTCATTCTATTGTGTAGCTCTTAAGGCCATCACACGTACAAAAATTTTAGTCGTAATCGTAAGGCCGTAAGCAAATCGGCCAATCACAGTCGAGCGTTTTGAAACGCGAGATCGTAATTTTGATTGTGATTGATCGATTTGCTTGCGACTTTACGATTACGTCTAAAATTTTTGTATGTGTGATGGCCTTTACCCCGGATCTACAATAGGGTTTTAAGCCTTAAGTCATAAGAAATGGACGAATCACAATCGATTATTCCCTTCGGATTCGACTGTAATTGGTCAGTTTTTTACGGTTTAATGCGGGGTCTACAATAAAAGTCGTAGCAGTTGTAGGGTCTTAAGTCGTAGAAAATTGTCCAATCACAGTCGAATATGAGAAGAATGATCAACTGTGATTGGTCAATTTTCTACGACTTAAGACCCTGCGACCGCTACGACTTGTATTGTAGACCCCGCATAAGTTTTAAAACATCTATTGTAGATCCGGACTAAAGTCCACGATGCTAGAAATCCGTCCGAGATCTCGGATGAAGAAAGAATTGACCAATCGCATTGATCATGTGACTAAATTGTTTAAATGTGATTGGTTAATTCTTTCTCTCTCCGAGATCTCGGACCAATTTCTAGCATCGTGGATACAAGACTTTAAGACCATCACACGTACAAAAATTTTAGTCGTAATCGTAAGGCCGTAAGCAAATCGGCCAATCATAGTTGAGCATTTAAAAACGCGAGATCTTAATTTTGATTGTGATTGGTCGATTTGCTTGCGACCTTATGATTCCGACTAACTAAAATTTTTGTACGTGTGATGGCCTTTACGGCGCATTCATTATGCGCAGCACTACTAATTTCACGAGCGCTGCGAGTGTCGAGAATCGGAACTTAGGGCGGTATTCATAGTCAGATCTTATATTCAAGACCGTCTTAAGTACAGCCTTAAGAAGTCATGAACCAATCAGCAGAAGGCTGTATTAGCGACTTAAGACATTACTTAAGACGGTCTTAAAATAAAAACTATGAATACCGGCCATAAACTCGAAACCTAAAATCGGTCCATGGCTGGTATTCATAGTCGGTTCTTATTTCAAGGACATCTTAATGCGGGGTCTACAATAGAAGTCATAGCGGTCGTAGCGTCTTAAGTCGTAGAAAATCGACCAATCACAGTTGATTATTCTTCTCATATTTGGCTGTGATTGGTCAATTTTCTACGACTTAAGACCTTACGACTGCTACGACCTCTATTGTAGACCCCGCTTAAGTAGTCTCAATATGCTAATGCGGTTCTCTGATTGGTTCGTGACACCTCAAGACTGAACTTAAAACGATCTTGAATATAAGAACTGAACGTGAATATCGGTCCATGTTTCGTAGACTAGCTAGACTGAGTGGAGTCTCCTTGGTATCTTATTTCATGACTACGGCTGGAGTCCACTTGACGCTACAAACGCTTCGAAGCGTTTGTAGCGTCAAGGGGACCGCAGCCTAAAACCGCTCACTGAGCGCTCAGTGAGCGGTGTAGTACT